GGGTGTATGCAAAGGAATAGCCCATGGACTAGGGCGCTCATTGGCAGGTGAGGAATCGAACGATTCGGGCCGATTAAATTGTTTTTCAAAGTGCTCAGCCTAACGCTCCAAGCGGTTTGACAAGCTGTGGATAGGCTGTCCACTCTCGTCACAAATGGTTTCATTAACACCAGGTCTCTTGCTGCCCGCTTCCCGTATCAGACTGAATAACTTTCGATGCTTACAAAAAGGAGCGGCTACTTCTATCTCTGACGAGCGAAAAGACCACCAGGATTCGCGGTCTCTCTTCAGGCTTGCACGGAGATTTGTCTGGAGCTCCTTGAGAACTTCAATGTCTTCTCTTCCAACCGGAATATGCCGACGAACATGGATAAATTCCAGAGAACGCGAAAAGACCCAATGCTTATTTGGCTGTTTGACTTACCGAAAGAGGATTTGCTTGATGTTGGTAAGATCTGGTGAATATGAGACCAGTGACCTTCAATTGTCTCCAGTGGGCGATTACTCAACTCGTTTGTCGGCGTACTTTGATAAGCATTCAGAACAGCTGGATTCGTCGGTTGGCTGGTGTCAATGAGCTCACAGAGTCGTTGTGGGCTTCAGGCAAAACGCATCCGCAGGTCAGCACATACAAGTGCATGGTTCGTGTCCACACATCTGCTCCAAAGCGAGAGAGAGTACTGGATGCAGCCTCTTCAGCGGTAATTGATTGCAATGCAAATCAGTTACGCCCAAAGCTGGTTCGAGGCTGGTGGGCACCAAGTCACCCTCCGGTCGGTGCTTTGTCTGTAATTAGTGCTCACAAGAAATAAGCGGGCATCTTCACACAAATGAATTAACCGCTCGCCATTATCATTACGGTGGCATACGCCGCGCTGACCGCCCATATGTATTTCATCAGTGTACGACATTCCAACTTGAGTATTCAGATCTCCAGCCAGCACAACAGTGTCTGCGCATCTTCTGTGGCTAATGAGATCGTTCAGTTTCCGTAGAAGTCGTTTGTTACCGAAGCATCGCTACAGTTTGTGGGCACGTAGGCAGCGATGATGAACAGACACTTGTTTGTCTCGCGCGACTTCGAAACTTTGAACGATTCAGACAATCGGACCGCAAACATCCGGCTACTGACAGGGATCCAATCAACCAGAGCAGCTTCAGCCCGGCGACTCAGGGCAATGCCAGCACCAGCTCGGCAGGTGCTCGAAGGTGCATCGTCACCATATAGGCTCAATGAGGAAATACTGCTGGTGTCACCTGAAGCTGATAGCATAGTGAACACAGAGATCGAGCCTTGCAGGCCGGTCTCTCACAAAAAGCAGACATCGATCGAAAGGGTCTCTAATATTTGGGCAAGTGCTGCATTTTGATCAATCTTTATCTATGTGTGTACATTGCGACACGAATATATGAAGGAGGATCGAGGGTTCCAAATGGAATCCAGTGAACTGAGCTGGACTGCCTGGTTGGACATGAGCATGTCGACTGGGCAGGAGTGACGCACCTCCTTTGCATTTGAGTTGAAAATAGAAGAGAAACGCCCATCAAAGCGTGTTGATTAAGACCAGGAATCTGAGGGTTGAAAACTGGGGCGATAAAAGTGAATGTAGGACGGTACCATATGCGAGAAAATGCGTAAGAGAGGAATAAGAAGACGGGAAGGCTTAAAATGTATCATACAATCCACTATCCACCCTGCTCGATACAACAGATAGTGCACGGTTGAGTATCCGGTGCGGTGGCCAGAGCACCAAAGTTTTGTTTGAAGAGAGATTCATTGTATTGCGTGAGCAGGATACTGTTAGGTTGCCCAGGCCTAAACAGAAAAAGCTCAGGGTTCTCAAACAAGCCTTTGGTTCCAAAACCTGGCCGCATAGCATTTGGGTATGGCATTCGTCAACAAGGAGTCAGTTTTAAAGAATAAGGAGCCATCTTCATTCCAACCCTAGAGTAGCAAGAGGCTGTTTGTCTGGTATCTAACCATTGACTAATCTGGTATGAGTGGCCATGAATATGCGAAAGCGGCACGCAGCATAGCTCAATGGATCACTAATGCACACAAAACATCGCACCATGGTCAAGTCCAACCTCCAAACGATGGCATGAATGCAACGTCGGCGTTATGGTTCAACCTAAACTTTGATAGTTGAGAAAAACTGTAAAGGAAAGACAGCATGCAATCCAGCATCTTGGGGACTTTTGAAGGCGCCCGGACATTTGAGAGCCTTAGTCTTCCCGAAAAGGTTAATAGTTATTAGTAATTAGCCAAAATCACATATCTAAGTCATCATCAGTTTGAAATGGCTATGCAGTACGGCCAGCCGTACTACCGATGAAACGTTTTCTGCCTCAAATTGCCATACCTCTGGGGTTCTATAGCTAAAATGCTATTGATGCTCTCAAAATAACATCATTTGCAAAACGTCCTGACCATACCTTGACGCGCCTACACTACATGATATAGCTCGTTACCTTCAGACGAGGGCATTAGCGCAGAATAAGTATTGAAAATTGTCATAATCTTCCTAAACTCCAGGCTGTAACCATCATACACGTGCGACACCCAAAATCTTAGTGAGTCGTGCACTTTGCGCTTTCTATTATCGACATTGCTTTTAGCTTGCGGTTTTAATCCCAACCACCATACGGGAAATGTCAAGCAGTTGTTCGTTTCCACATCATAATTAAGTGTTCCGTCGCTCCATTCAGAGACTCGCGAGTTACCAAATTATGATTATAAACCAGACGTTGCTGATGCTGGATATCAGCATTTTAACCAATTACACAGTACAAAGAACACGGCCTGCATTTTCCATAAATACGCAGACAAATATCATTGGCAATCTGAAATCAGGCTGCAGGCGTATTCGAATTGACTTAGCTTGCAGCAACTGTAGCATGCACATTTTACCAAAAGTCTAATTAGTTGAAACGGTTGTACGGAAGGTAGAACTTTGCCAATAAATCAGTACTCATCCAACACTTAAGGGGCACTGCAGTGGTGACACGGCAGTGTGACAATTTGTACGAATATAGAGCGCTATTAATCTGATGACATGGACAAATTATGATCGGTTACGTCAGCTGCCGAAGTCCAATACATTCAGTTATACTTGGCCAAACTGAACGCATTGTTGCTGGTAAAGAAGAAGTTACGTAAGAGCTACGAGACGAAGGTCAGCGGAAGAGTGGTACTGTCTTCCTCCATATCCCCAGTATTAGGGTAAGTCGTCGGCCATGAAGTGGATCTTCGACACACCCTGCCCCAATTTATGCGGATATATTCACTTTTACCGAAATCCTGCACACATTCTTAGAGGTTTCCTTCTCATGGACATGGAAAAATATAAGAAGGTTCAAATCCGCGTCCAAATTCAAATTTGTTGCGTTCAGCCATAACATTACATTAGCAAATAGAAGGTCGCCCAGGTCCACACCGGAAAGAGAAAGAACACCTGAGGTCGATATTGTAAACGTTGGCAAGGCGCAAAACCGATTGGTATAATCAACTGAAATAAACCTGAGTCAGTGGCAACATCCATCGCATAAAAGTATTTGGCCTTCTGAAACAGTGTGATTTAATGTGCCATTGAATGGAAGTTCATGATAAAAAGGGCATGCTTGGTTCACAAAGATTGTTCATTAAACGTAGGTTACTTCAGGTATTATGTTAGCCACATTATCAAGTTGGACGCTTATATGGTCAGCTCACCGTTTGCACGTATTACCGAGCGATATTTCTAATTTTCCTGGCTTTCAAGTTTTGCGCTTTGGCATCTGTAGAGAAAACAGGGGCATTACCAGAAAAATTCAAGCGAAAATGCATGATTGTTCATGGGATGGCTGAAATGCAACATTCCAACGGATCACCAGTCAAGCCAATAACTTGAAGTAGTGACGCTTTACATATCTGCATAGCCTAAGTCAACGATTTGTTTTTCAGATGAACGCCGAATTTATACATATCCATAAAATTAAAGTATATGACCTAGTAATCACATGAGTTATATTTTATTCATAATTGGTGCAAACATTTTGTACAAGATATGCATTAGCATTCCAAAGAACATGCATCTGAATGCGGTTAGATCTATGCCACCAACTGCTGAGAAATTATGATACCAGCGAATGTTTTGACAGTCAGTCTACTAGCATGATACATTATAATCATAACCAATACCCGGCTGACCGACGAGATCATCGACGCTGGTGTCTCACCGCATGACATCTACTATAACAATGATGGACTCGACAACGGTCGTTGTACTACTAATGCCGCTCTGTCCTGCATGTCAATCACATCAGCGATATTACTATTCAAGCAGTAAACTAACTCCTTTTTCATAAGCATAGAGGCAATGCAGTATGTCTATGGTGGACTTGGTATTTCGCGCACCAATATCTACTTCATTTATATATACCATTCAAACATGAGTTTTGCTATTCTACTCGGTCCGCATTACAAAATTTCTTTTCGACTATTAGATGAAGCCTGATATTCAGAGTGAGCAACTCGTGGCTGAGTTGTGGTGATAAACACCAATTTAATGCTGTATAACAATGTGAAGTATTTAAAGGCGTTTTAGGACAGCAGACAAACCTATGATTCCAACCTCCTACTCACCAAAGTCGAACTGGCGAACGGTATATTAACGGCGGTAAAATCTAAGGGTTACATCGATGTTGCACCAATATTGTACTAGTAATTTTGAGCACAGGATATCCTGAAGGAAGAATCAAAATTTGCGCTGGTCGTTATTAGTTATGAAAGTCTTCCTGATCACATTAACCCAAAAATTGGTCGTTCTATTTTTACCATTTTTGGCTTACTATATGTACGTTTTATCGCTTACAAGTTGCCGATAAAAGTTATTTGATATGCTGCTTTGTTATTTTAGTTGGAATATAACCATCGATACCTATTCGACTATTTAATAATCTTTGACGGTCCGGATTGTTTGGCACCACGGCTTGCAGTTGCGTTTGGCCAAAAACACCAAATGACATTTAGCTCTCAGCAAAACAGAGTGTCGTTGTTATTCATCAGCGATTATGGAGTGCAGAAACCCGGTTTTCAGCTCATTTACAAACCAGGTAAGCCGATAATCTCACTTGTCTGTAAGTACGCACCACTCACTTTGCCAGATATACACAGCCAACTTGACGTCACTTAACATTTTAATGCACACAACAGCTTGATAAATTTGTATTCATTTGTATGCGTATAGAATGTTGCTGCAACATGGATGTAGTCCAAACCGCTCAAATCGCTACCACCCTTAGCGAAATCTAGAAAATTTGGTCCAAGGATCTTAAAAGTGTTAGTTCAGTCAGAATAAACAACAGTAGGCGTTTTGGAACGATGTCGGGGAAACCAGAAATACCTTCCTCCTGAACTCTTGTTAGACACTGCCGAAACTGCGAAATGTACATCTAAAGCATAGAAAACAGAAAACATACCGGGGATAATACAGAAGTTTCATTGTAGATTTTTGTGAGTAGTGTACATTTCGTAGAAAGTAGAAGTCACGATTAAAATTCACACACAATAATGTGCCTCGAAAGGGAATCGAACCCGGTCCACGAATTTCCGGTCCGCTGCTCTACCACTTAGCTACAGAGGTTGCAGAGCAGCGGACCGGGAATTCGTGGAACGGGGTTCGATTCCCTGTCGAGGCACATTATTGTGTGTGAATTTTAATCGTGACTTCTACTTTCTACGAACAGAAGTATTTTGTGCAGCACCCGTCTAGCTGTACACCAGAAACGGACTGTCAGTTTGTGACTGAATAAGGACGCTTCAATCAGAAGATAGACTCACGTCATAATTATGGGTGATCTCAAAGTTCGGTGCTTAAAACACCTACCAAGAACTGAGAACAATTCAAAGCAAATTTGACGTTCCGCTTTACAATCGTCACTTCTAAATTCGGTTCGGAACAGGTAACAGCGCAAATATTCCGGATCTTGTGCATAGGAACAAGGACCACAGAATTGATGTGTTCGTTGTAGATAGTCAGTTGGGACGCAGTGATCAATCAGTTATTAGTTTTAAATTCGTCTGCTACGCAAAATATCGGAATAAGTCCACTGGCATGGTGTGAACAATCACACAATTTAATGGATTATTCCAGCTCGGCGGCACCATAACCTAGTCATTACATGCCAAAGAACCCCTGGAGGTCGCCTGGCTCAAGTTCGTCAACGTATTCAGTCAGGTGATTAAAGATGCTTTAGATACAAAAGTTTGCAGTAAGTATATATCATTTTCTTACTAGAAACAGAGCTCGAAAAATAATTTTAGTACACAACGTAGTATAGCGGGCATTGAGCTTAGCTCAAACGACAAAGAGTGGTACATTTATACATATAATAAACACGATCAATAGTACGATTGGCATAGTGCCACAACGTATGAAAAATGAAATTAATAAACGAATAGCGAGGAAAAGCTTTGTTCATTGCAGTGATGAGTTAAAATAAATCCGGCCAGGTGCATGGCTTCTTGTCCTATTCGAAAATGTTTCCATCTGTGCTCGTTCACCATCCCTCACAAGTCAGCCAGGAATCCGAGAGCAACCGACCACGGCTAAATTTGACATTCGCTTATTCATACTTCTGGTCCAAGTCATATGTTAGCCACCTAGCTTTCGTTTCTAGCTGACTTCTGAGTGCAAAGATGGCATGGCCGAGGTAAAAGGTGAGTAGGCATTGCGAAGAAAATGCCAAATACATTGGTGTTTGTGCACAGTAAATATTCTGCTCGGTGGCCGGCTACGTCTGTCCGATCGGAAATTCATTTGTCAACCATTTTCAGTACTACTGTGATCTTACCACCTTGCACCAAAAATGCTCCAAAATCATCGGTGATCAAAAGCAGACAGCCACTCAACTCCCTTTACACGAACAGGCCAAGACCCGTAGCCATAGGGCGGAACCGCTCCAACTGAGGCATTGTAAACTCGGCTCTTCAGATGTATACTCAGTTCTGCTCGACGCTGGAGATGGCGGAGTTTGACAACAGCAAAACGAGATTTGCTAACGTGCAAACTGACCTCAACCGTTAAACCATTAGCACTAAAGGACCTTCCGATGTAAACAAACTTGTGTAGCACTTCCATTGAATGAGCTGAAAGAGTGAGTAGAGTAGCAGTACTTAGCCATTCTTGCAGGAATACCATGCGCTTCCATCGTGCAAAGGTAATTCCAAACTGGGAGACATACATCATCAACCTACACAGGACATTTGGGAGGTCTGTGAGTAAACGCAGATAAAGGCGTTGTCTCCTGTATGCTTCAAATCCTGAAGTCGGTCACCCGGTAGAAGCTCGACGCTGATGGGTTCGAGGTTCTCCAATGCACTGGCCAGGATTATATCCAAGGTAAAGTAAACAAGATAGGGGATGCTGTGCAACCCAAGCTCACGCCAATATTATTAATAAACTGCAGGACAAGTACACCATACACTTTCATTTGACCCGAGGTTTGAGAGTACATGGCTTGAAGTGAGGTGACATGCTTTCTGGCACATCACTACTCAGTAGGCAGCCCTAGAGAAAAGCTCTGTCAACTGTGCCAAACGCGGATCAAATGTCTAAGAAGACAAAAGATCGTTGGCCGGCCAAATGTTTGACAACGAGTAGTATTCGGTAAAGTGTAAAGATGCGATCGATTCAAATCTGACCTGAGCAGAACCCACCATTCTCTTCACGTATGCTATGTTTGCGCACCAGTCTGTGCCTTCTCAAAAACAAAGCTGCAAGCACACCGGAAGCAACATAGAGGCGACTAAGCCCTCTATGTTTGGGGCAATCTGTTCAGGTACACTTTTTGAAGATGGGCAGGCTTCAATCAGTTGTGATACATTCATTGATCTGCATTGCTTGGAGGAGAGAAGACAACTCCAGGAAAAGTGATGCACCTCCATCTTTGAGGAGCCGGAGAAAGTTTATCTGGGCCAAGTTCTTTGTAGGTCGTTATGATGCGAAGCTCATGGGCAACCTCAGCTTCAGACGGTGCTAAAGCGACTACACACCAGGAAACGCTGGACTTAAGGACGGGAACTCATCTGTTATGCCGGTCAATGAAATTGCTGTTCAAAACGCTTGGCCCACTATAAACGCGTTACAAAATCATTGCCAAATATAATTACTGCAATCAACTTCTATGAGAAAAGACGGCGGTATTATAACTAGACGTAGCACAAACCGTCAGCGCTAGGCACAAGCTACCACACAAGCCCGTCAATGGCATAAGGCATGTGAAGCAAGGATTTTCATCACTCATGACGACTTGTGACCCAACGAGAGCAGTTATGCAAGCGGTAAACGTGTTGCAAATGCAGTTTCCGCCTCATCTAATATGTATCAAGTATTATACTAGCAAGTATATCAAGCATCCTATCAAGTATTGTACCGGATTTTTCCGTCTTGCCTAAAGGACTCATCTGCATTACTTTGACCGTTGAAGCAACATTGGGGAGGCTGACATCACAACTTCAAGAAGATAGATACCACTCATCCAGATTAGATTGAAAGGTGCATCAAAAGAAACCATAGGACCGTTGACTCAGTTTTTCCTGCTCTGCTTAAAAAATCTGAGCCTTTGCAACTAGGTGGTAGCTTGAAATAATAACTACTCACAAAGGCTGAAGCAGAATTATTCTTTCAAAACACAACCCAGTGTCTTCACTCCATTTGTTGTACAATATTAAGGAACAAGGAAATTCTTTTCCACTGGCGTGTGGCATGTTCCCTCGGAATCGGTCATATCTGCACTGGCACTAAAAATATCAACAAAACGACTGGATGAAGCATCCATTTAGTTATAATTTGTTACTTGCAATATGTAACCATCGAAATATACCTGGAGGTCGCTTGACTTGCAGAAAAAACGACAATTCCTCAACTGAAAATTAAAGCACTCCATTTTTCTAATTGTTTATTACCCTCTTAGATTATCCAATCAAACTTATAAAACAATGCTTCTTACGCATTTGAATGAATTGTTCATATTTACTTTGGCTTACTTGTGTTCGTCTAGTTTATAAGAGACTAAATGAATTGTGACCGTTAATGATGATTACTGAATACGGTGTTGAAAGCCTACAGTAGCAATTATTTTGAGTCCTGAAGATAGGTGTCAGTGTGCGTTTTATTCAACTGGCGCTTTATGTTTTGCACAGCAATATTTATCGTGATAGCTTCAGTATTTTGATGTTCCGATCTAAAGAAAATTTCAGCGCAACTACAAACATGACGTCGTTAATATAGCTGTTACCAGCCGTTGCTTATTCTTCTGCAGCCTTGCAACTTGCGTTAAGGTTAACGCAGTGCGGCAATCTTTTGCAATGAGAATTTAATACATTACGGTCGACCACAGTCCACCAGTGCTCTATAGTTCAACCGCTTGACTTGTGATCCAATTTGTTGTAATCGAAAACGCATAGCTATGTTTGTTAATAGAAAATTGGTTACCCATCCTACCGTAGTCCCAATAAAATAACTCATTCAATTTCTGTTGCTCTTAACGCCTTTTCGAGTATGCAGCTTATGCCTGGTGATAGCTCACAAACGGTAACTTCTTTGCTTCTCGTATTCATGTGTTTTCGACCACGTACTGCATCTTTTATCACAAAACCCTAATATGTTTATGTTAAAAGTGTTTTTGTTATGACGTCTGAATTCCTCATGGATCATGGTGAATTTAGCTACGCTATTAATTTTATATTCATTGCTGTGAAGATTGAACTTTTTCCGGTCAGTTGTCCCAGCTCATATACGTTTTCTGCGCACACGAAATTAAACTGACCTGCATTTAAGCAGAACGTTTTACCTGTTTTTAAATATGTATTAGATGAATACGTTACGGGATAGTATATTTTTGCAAAAACGGACTGTGCTATGCAGGAAAATTTTCATTATTTTTTCTTGTTTTGCTACAAGTGTTATAAAGGAAATTGGTTTTATCTGTACTATCGTTTTTAAGTCACCGACTGCAGTTATGATACAACACTCTCCAAGCTTGCATGCTTTAGCACCATTTAAAATCCAATTAACAAACTAGCTAATCACGATTATATTCAGCAAACAACCAGCACTGCCAGCGTTTGTGTTTTGCCATAATAATGTTATTTTTTCTTAGTAATTAATTCGGCCTAATATTTTGCGACCCAGCTGGCTGACCAACATAAATTAAGGTATCATAATGGTTGTGATTTGTACGTTTTCGTATAAGCTGACTATTTCTCTGCAATGATAAATATTACAAGTATATATTACCTTATCAATAGAAACTCTGCAAGATCAATGGAAAAAGAATAACGAAAGTGAGTTGAGTAACGGCATTTTGTGAAATAAAATCCTTGCAATTTGATCATTTCGCAAAAGTTAGCTGCTAGCTCAAAGCGCACATAAATTTGTAGCTTATTTGCTAGCTATCACGTTTGCATTACCTTGGGAATGGCGTTACATTTGGGTCAATATGAACCAGTCTGTCATTTTTGTCTTCATTGTTAGATACTTGTCTACAGTATCGTAAATGTGAATATCATATTTTATCTATAATCTATCTTGGAATACTTTTAACATAGACCTGATTGTAAAAGTCGCATTACCTTGGCTTGTCAGCGAATGGTATGCTAGACGCATAGTAATGCACAACAAATTTAAATTCAGGTCTTCATGCTTAACTAGATAAAACTAAGGCCAAGACGTAAAAGTGGACCAATAAGAAGCGGTAAATGAAAATACAACTGAGGACACAAGGGCTGTGGTTGTGTGTCTGAACGAGTATAATGCAACCTCTATTTTCTCAAACTCACTACATCTGACCTTATCGCTTTGTGATAGTTTTTTAACTGACAACATTACAGCATAATCTGCTTCTGTCTATTTCAGTTGAACCCGATTATCGGCACATACTAAGTGAGTTATGCCTCTCACATAAGAAGGTTTTAGTCATGCTTGCTACTGTGAGCGTACTATGCTTGTTTATTAACAAAACCCCGGTTATAATCAAAACGGTTGAAACAGCTTGCATTAGCCAGACGTGAAGATTTTGAGTCGCAAAAAGCGATTGACTCTTTACTTGGTTTGAGTAGAGCTGAAAAATAAATGGCAATGAATTATAATATGTCTTAGAGAAATGAAGGTTACAATCTGTCGGCATGAGAGGCGTTCTATTATGAACTTCGCATTAAAGGCTTTGTCAAGTACTGCGACGTGAGTTTCGGAGTGAAGTTCTCAAATATGTTATGTATTGAAGGAAGTTGCCTGTGGTAAAATATGTACAAGCTCTACAAAACCATTGACGGAAATGAAGCTTGCGGGTCTCACTAGACAACTTTGCCCACACTGTATTCTTATCTATTTTTTAGGCTGTAAAATAAAATGTTAATAACCGCATTATTATCCGTATTCTTGTTACTAACAGAATTATTACCATTACTAATAACAGGCTTAAGCGCTGAACACAGAGTGGGGCTGTTGTTGTTGAGAATCGTGATTATTTATACATGAATTTGCAAATAGGTTATTTTCAATTTTACATGCAAATATATTTTTATCTTGCAGGTTGCTCACGATGAGTAGAATTTACGCCTTTTCAATGATACGGAATACCTGTAGCCCGGGTTGGCAGTTAAGGTGTTGCTTGATTTTCCGAGCTGAGTAATTTAATGACAAACGTTTAAACACTTCCCTCAGTGGCATCCTCAGTGCACTGCTCCGTGAAATTTTCCTCTACAGAGCAGTGCACTGAAACGCCACTGAGGGAAGTAGTGAAAAGTTTTCATTAGATTATTCAGCTTGGTGAAACAATCAAATCTTTAGGATGGACGTCTGCGTTTGCATGTTCTATTGGTCTATTCATTTAGGTTTAAAAATTATTTGCTTTGTTTTCCTTTGCCCCAAACAGGCATAATTTTTGTTGTCTAGGGATACGCATTGTCTATTTAAAAGAAAAATAACGGCACCTTGAAAGTAGACTCTGTCAAATTTGAAACAAGCTTATCTTTATTTGGTCGTCCTGCTAATAAGGTCAGCTGAACAAAATGTTTCCAAAAAGGCGTCATGTCATATAAACTATGCTTTTTGCAATGTATACTTTTCTAGTTAAATCTGATTTTGCTTCTCAGGTAGAAGTCTCAATTACCAATGACTGGGCTTTAATAGCAGGAGTAACAAACCAAACATCCCTGTCATGTTCATAAGGAATATAAAAATTTTTATTTGCCTGTTGTCTATAACCTTTCTTTTATGGGAGTGCAACTTAAAAATGCATCATTGGAAGTGAATTGTATGGCTAAATTAAGGAACGATTTCATATTTATATTTTAGTTTTCTCTATATTAACGAGCAAAATAACTACTAGAGTCCACTTGCAATTTCAAGGTTACTGAAGTTGCGACCAAGGAGAACATTACAAGTTTAACATTCGTTGTCGATAAATAGATAAGAGGCGACTGCGTGAGCTGTGAAATATAGTATTAGTTTACTTTAGAAGATTAGTATTTATAAACCTAGGGAAATTAGTACAAGTGATAACACAGACTAAATGGGCAACATTACCTCGGACACAATTACATTACGGATGCACTGAATATATTAGCTGTATGTCAGGTCACTTTGTAATATTAATTTCAGTCATAAACCATGGAAATGCTTTTGTAGACAATTGCGGAAAGGAGTTGAATGAAAGCTCATCCAATATCATTTTCTGGAAAGGACGCGATGAAACAAACACCTTATGTATCTGGAGGATCATAAATAACTTTGGAGGCACAATTACACTAAAGATTGAAGAATTGAAGGTAAGCTTTAGGCTTGCGTGGGACTATGTTTGTCATGTTTGATTAGCGGAAACGTTAGCACTATTAAAAAGGAGAGATCGTTGACGCCAGATGCTTGAAAACCTAGAATAAACGGTGCAATGAATTCAGTGGTAATTTGTCTTATTCCACTTTCAATCAGCAGGCTTTGGCAAGTAAGGAAATGTATTAGACATCGCTGTTTCAACCTTCTGTGACTCGTCATTGGTGCGCATTCCTCCGAAACCTGTCAGGTTGTCATCCCATTTATTCCTGTTGCCAGCAGCTTGTGCCACTTAACCATGGGAGACGGATGCGGATCTGCATGATGGATAAGTGACCATGAGAAGTTACATCTGAATTACCTCTGAAGTATAAAAATTGTCACTGTGATTCTATATTTAACTTTACGTTTCCGGGAACCATCAGTTTCCTATGCCTAATTCATTTTAGTTGATATATTCATGTACACATAGTGGATGTGTAAATAATTTTTGCATTCACTGTAGAATTAATTTTCCATTTAATTCGATAAATGTTCCTTTTTAGTAAAAGAGATCAATAATGTTATTGATGTCTAGAATGGGCGCACGGATTTTTGTCTACGTACTTTATTGAGGTGAAAGCCAAGGTGATGCTACGGCATTCTACAACTGATTGATCTCCTCCATTATTTTTGACAAATGCATATGCACATCGTTCCAAAGATGTCAACTCAGACATTGCACAAAACACACTCGTTTTACACTTTCATTCATCAAATCGGATACACCGCAAAATTGTAGTAATAAGCAATGTGGTATATAAGAACTTAATGAACGGTGTACATTGCGCTTTGCAACAATCCAATCAATCATGAATTGCTCGGCTAACTTTTGTGTCAAGAGCTTTGATTTAAAATGCAATCAATGTATGGTAGTAATTCTGACGCATCCTCAGATATACAGCGAGAGAGTCGTTTTCCCGGCCGTATATGAAGTAACAGATTAAAAAAGTAAAATTATAACCTATTTAAAGAGATCATATTGAGAGTGTAAAAATTCGGTATAGGACGGGTTTTAAGAAAGCACATTCGAAGTTTTGTTTTGGCATACATAGATACTTCCGTATTTGAAAATGTAGGACGTGATATTGTCATGTTGTTCACAGCCATATTGGCTGTGACATTTAGAGTAGGTCCTATTCAATTGCTTTATCCGAAAAGGTTTCTACCAAATTCAGGCGCATCTTATGTGATTTATTGTAAATGATACGTTATTTATGTCGAGTAGTAAATGTCAAAATCCATCTGTGGATGAAACAATTGTTGAAGAAATATGTTGTTTTTATATAGAATATTTGATGTAACAGCTTAAATAACTCAAAAAGTAGATATTTTACAATCAGTTTTGCTATTCCCAATTATTTGTATGGCCGTAAAATATACTATAGTGTTAGGAGTGGGAAAATTTTGTTGGGGTAAAAGTACAATAAACTTTTATGTTGCCTTCATCCCCTTCAACCTTTGCACCAAATATATGCTTCAATTGCCCCCACGTCCGTAAAAATGTGGTTGCCTATAGCAATATGACTAATTGGAGTTTGAATTCGTTTTATAAAATGGCATTGCCTTTTTTGATTTAATAAAATAAGAAGAATGTTGTTGCGGCAATTCGAAAATATACGCCGACTGAGACAAAGTTATTTTCCAATGAATAATGCAGATAGATATAAAATTCAATTAGATACCCCTGTTAATCATATTTATGTTTGATCTTCTTTGCGCCACAAAATTGCTATTGATCTTTCAATATTGTTATTCAGGATAGTCGCTTGGATATTGCAACCATGTTGCTTCTGAAATATATATGGCAAAGTTTGAATGGGTGGCCATACTAACTTAAGGAAGCAAGCAGGACGTTGCGCTTGATTCGCGGATGTTGCATGTGAGCTTCAGAGGCGGCCCAGTATGTAATATTTGTCATGTAAGGATTACAAGTTAAACAGTAAGATAGTAGTGTTTTAGTTCTGAATATTTAGTAGACAGGATTTTTAGATGCAAACATTTTATTATAGCAGTATATCATTGGCTTTGGCGTTATTGAACTTCCAGGCCCGGATTGTTGGCAAAACCTCAAACGTCTCATGCAAAAGCATAATAAGTAAATTTGAATAAGCAACTTCAGCATGCACCCATTTCATCAGCATGCATCAGTCGCTTGTTTTTACGGTAACCTTAATGTCACATTGCCTAATGATTTGTGGCTAATTAGATCATACTAGTTTTACATTTTCCTATGGTATTGCAAGTCATGTTAAAATTAATAAGTAAGTTTTATCCTAGACCTCGTTGTACACTCTTATAATCAGTGTGACAAATTTCAATTTAGTATATGTGCTAGGACCTATGCTTTAAAAATGGTCAGTTTGACTCTGCAATGAAGATAATTTAACAATAACTGTCGCATGTAAATTTAAAAAACTTCACCTTGTTGGACAACTGAATAAAATTGTTTGACTATGTGCTTTGCAAAAAGCTAAGCGTTATCATTATAAGCTTACATGATTCAGAATAATCACCTAAAAAGTGTTCCGTATTAGGTGGATTTATCGTTGAAGATTAAAGTCCCCAGTATCACTAAATGTTCGTAATTGCATGCAGACAGATTGCTTAAACTAGTTAAGGCGAATGTCTTTCTGTATAACAGGATTCGATACAGAATTCTCAAAGCAATCCGTAAAGCGCAAGAAGAATATAATCCGGTATTTATCAGAGTAGCTGTTCAGGAATTTCCGAGCACTAAACATGCTTCAGATTTTCGTTTATATTTAGTTACCAGTTCCAAAACCAGCTGAGCCACAAATTCAGCAAACAATCGACCAAAACTAAAGTTGTTTTCAGGACGAACCCAATAGACAGCGAGCCATCTACAGCGCCATGTCTCACGCTTATCAGCAACGCAGGAAACTACACTGACTTATTATTTGATTACCGCGTGGCTTTAATACTAAAGAACCCTTTGCTAAAATTCCTCGCGTTAAGTGTAAGTGTGAATTATGTGTTAAATTTGCATAGGATAAGTTACTGTGCTCCATTTGCTTGACCTCAAGTCAAAGTTAGTGTATGATTTGGAGCAGATAAAAAGGAAACGGTACCATAGTAGGACATGGGTGTTTTGGTTGTGCAAGTTGTAGGTGCTATCCTCGACTTTAGCTCTAAATGTGCTACAGAAGACTTATGAAGAACTAACAGCAGCGGTAGAGTAATTAGTAAGCGCCAATTTGCACCTGTAGTAGAAACAAATATGCACATGTGTGTATACATGAAAAACCGAACTACCCTCTCAGGTCTAAGAAGAGACCAAAGCGTCCTAAACAAACTTTACTGCAACGACTCAGTCTCCAGCAGTCACACATCTATCTATTTTCCCCTAACTAAAAACGTAACCCGCAGATTGCCAGATTAAAGTTTTCTACAGGGCGTCGCACCTAGTAGTTCGTTCGTTATAAAGTCAGTCCAACATAGTGAGGAACCAGGCACATACTACTGGGCTGCCGCCAAGCAAACAAAGAAAAGATCCCTGGTAAGTTGGGTGGCCAAACTAAAACATCGCTGGAGCCACAAAGCAGAAGGTCTCTAGCAGTGTCGTTCATAATTTCGTAAAAGTTCGCGAACCTATATCTACAAACCGACAGTCACCAGGCGCAAATGTGTAGACTTAAAACTCGTGTGTATTACTGTCCCTGAATCAAAATCCAATGCACTTATTTGTAACCAGATAGACGATAGAAATCGATGTAGTTCCACGGCTACGGCGATCGGCGTATATGTTGATCCACCGAAAAAGAAAGCGCATCTCGCGTCGCCCAAACTCAATGCGCTACGATGAACCCCGATTACACCGGCTAACATTCAGCCGATAAAAGAGACATAGGCTGTTCCCCTGTCTTCGAATCGACTCCGCAACGCAGCTACCAGGTACCTCGTGGAAGGAAGGTTCAGAGAATTCCACTAACCGAATGGGTAACAGTAAGATTAAAGTTAAAGCATATTTGGTCGCTCACGGTTTTTCTATGCTTGCAGATTCCTCTTTCGACTATTCATATATAACCGAGCATGAATAATGCCGTTACATTGGTGAGGTCCATCTTCTCAAAAATGTAGTCGGCACCCATTTGACAATGATCGCCGTGTCAACTAACTAAACTTTGTGTGGGCACAAGCTATTGCAAATAGTGCTACAATGTGAATTGACAGCACCAACGCATCTAAAGTATTGAACTAAGGTCTTTATCAGGCTCCCAACAAAAAGTCGTCTGAAAGTAACCGGAATATAACATGGTCTGTTAACAACCCAGTGGGGCTGCAATCTCAAGAAAAACATATACTGTGAGATCAGATGACGTGACAGTTTCAACAGAATTATTATCCTTCAAGGATACACAACTAAAATGAGCTGTCTTCGGGATCCGGAGCATATGGGAAAAGAATATAGCCAACTGGTCAAAAGATTTACAAGCCGCTATCCTTACATGTTTCAGAGTAAACTCACTCACATCAACCATCATATGTAAAATTATCCTGGTCTCTAAGATTCTTTCCTGTAAGTACACAAATGCTCAAGTTGCACTCAGCAAATTAACTGAATAAAGACAGCGACGTGCGTCAACATATTGGAACCTCCTCGCTATCACGGAAACCTTGTTTCGCAGGGATAAAGGATGTATAAATATGAAATGATGGAGCTAGAATAGTTGTAGTGTAGCCCTCTACTTTTGTAGCAACATCCAGTGCCAACGCATACGTGATTTCGAAACCAAAGCGTGGCTAACGTCTAAGGGAGAACAACATGAGAGTGGTGGTTGTTGTTTAACACCCACCATCGCCTAAATTAAGGTGAACTTCAACTTCTTGGATGCCTTGAGACTATTGTAACCAAAAGTACAACAACGTTCTACTCACTGGTGCTTTCGACTTGTGCTCTGAAGTCTAAAGGCAACAGCAGGTGAGTACTTCAAGACAA